AAATTAATATGTTATGAGAATACCACTTAGTTGTTATCTTCCACTTATCTGGGACCGGGTCATTGGAGCAGCCCTTCCACTTCATGATTGTGTTCCACTCATGGATCCTTCACAAGGAATTAAAGTTTTATACCTTTACGTTTGAAGCCTGAAATCTGACTAAAGGTCGAAAAGTTTGAGGGGGTGGAATACTTTTTAAAAGCACTGTAGTTCAGAGGTGGAAAGAGTACTAAAAAATTGTAATTGAGTAAAAGTATCTTTACTTTGCCTAAATTCTACTCAGAGTAAAAGTAAAATTACCTATCTCAAAATTTATTTAAGTAAAAGTACAAAATTACCTAATTTAAAATGTAATTTGAGTAAAAGTTACTTAGTTACTTTGAGTTATTTAATGCAAGAAAAGGATGAGTCAGTAATTGAATTGACCACAAGGTGTTTTAATCGATTTCAGGCGTATTTCAGTGGACATCCACACTTGCAAAAGATCAGCTGGGCTAAAGAGCATACTTCCTCACATCACAAGGACAGTCACAACCTGAACCATAAAGTGCAAACAATTTTCAATCCTACTGTCCAACAGAAAACACCATGATAACTAACATACCGCCACATTTTTTCGTAAATTGTTGATGTTTTAAAAGCCGAAAGCTAAGTTTTGCTGGGCAGGCACATGTTGCTCTGCATCATCACATTGTTCTCTTTTGTGCATCTGAAAACAAATAATCCTTCCAAATATGGCCGAGGGTTTTTCTGGCTTTCGTCTCCAGAATATGTTTCCTCTTCAGGCCTTTCCTCATCCATACTCCCTAAGTTGTGATTAGCAACTGCCATCTTCCGTAGCGCAGCACTGGATTATAAGACAATACAAAGGGTAAATGCAAGGCAGGGCCACATTTAATCTTTTCACCATCAGTATTTTATTTTATTTTTTTACTAAGTAACGTGAGGGGGTTTTAAATGTAGCAAAGTAAAACTACTTAGGTTAAAATTTACTCGAGTAAAAGTAAAAATTACATATTTCAAAAACTACTCAGAAAATTACAAATTGATAAAAAATGATAAAAAGTACTCAATTACAGTAACTTGAGTAAATGTAATTCATTACTTTCCACCCCTGCTGTAGTTCCTCCAGGAAATGCCAATTAAAATCTCTGTATAGACTTCCCAAAAGTGATTAAAAAGGCTTATTATACCTAAAATAATACAAAATATTACATTAAACAAGTGTCAATGGTTCAAAAATAAGAAATTAAATAAGCATCTGGAATTAAATATTATATAAATAATTTTGCTTCTGTATCACAAAATCAAGGACAGGGTTGTTTTCCCTAATAATTCATCTCTTACCCCCAAGTCCTAAATTTGACATTATTAATGATTCACCGTCTATTTGATGTGATAATTGCCTATACCATAGAATAACCATAAATAAACTTTCTTCATTCTAAAAACTGACCCGTGCATAGTTGTACAACTACAGTAACCTGATGTTTTACTTGTAGTAGTTTAAGCTTTAATAACTTTACTGTGTAGCAGCCTGCAGACAGAAGCTCAAGTGCCGCTTTTTGCGAGTCCATCTTTAGTGCCATTTTAGTGCTCCTGCATGTAAATACTCACAAATAAAGCCCTCAATAGTGAGCTTGAGAAAGTGCACGCTAGAGTAGGAGGAGTGAGGCAGTTAGAGGATGAAGGATGAATCTGTGACGTCTGTAATTTACATACGCACAAAAGCTGTTATATACAAAACATGCAAACTTGCAGGTACATTTTTTACTCATTGCTTGGCTTATAATGCCTCTTTAATGTGTTTTTGGGAGTTTTTACATGAGGTGGTGGTGAAGAAGAGTAAAAGGACATCTTCCTCCACCAATGTTAAAAAATAATATCATGGCTTATTGCACAATAATACTATAAATAACAAGCATGTTTGACTTCAATTCAATTCAGTTTATTTATATAGCGCCAAATTCACAACACATGTCATCTCAAGGCACTTTACAGTTCACCAGATCAGATTGATTTAAAGTTTTCTATCTAAGGAAACCCAGTTGATTGCATCGACTCATTGACTCAAATACAATCCCTCACACTGAGCA